TCTAATATTTATAGCTAAAAAAAAAATAGCTGGAGATGATGCATAAGGAAAACTCAGAAGAAACCTGGAAGCATCTAAAATATTAAATTAAAACCATTTATCTGAAGCAGAAGAGAAGTTGAAGGAGTTTACAAAAGAAGGGAAAGCCGACAGTGATGAATGTAGCAATTTGGAAACTGAGAAAGAAAGAAAAGCACAAGGAGAAGTTATGGAAGAGGAGAGCAGGGAGGACTAATAAAATAAGAGACTCCAGAGAAAGGAGAGGAAACTCTGGGTAGCCCTGTATGCATCAAATTTTTTTCTAGGGCAGTAAAAAGGAAATGGGCAACCTCATCCCTTCTCTGACTTCAGTGATCTCACTAGAGGTTAAAAGGACAAAACAGGCTGCAAAATATTAAGCTGAAGTCTCTGCAGTAAAACCCTCTCAACCCATTGCATAAAGAGCTCATCTCCTCTCATGGAATTTTCAGTTCCATTATCCAAGGGTGTTTGACATATTTACAGCTTTGACACTGAGGAAGGCAACAATCAGGATTGTTTAGGAAAGCCAGGTTCTTCCATGGACCTCTGGGGTGCAGTGGAGTTGGAGGTATCTTTCCTCTGCTCTCTCCTACTGCAGGATTTGACTACAGTATGTGAGATGTTTGGGTCTTTGTACTAAACAACCTCATTATTTTAATAGACATGGGAGCCATTTAATGATCTGCTTGCAGTGGCTCAGGAGACATTTAAGAAGAACAGATATTTCTGTGAAATTCTCTCAATTCAACATCTGCTCTATAGCTGCCTGTGACTGCAGCAGACTGGATTCAACAACCCATGTGTTCCCTGGCTATCCTGTAGTTTCAATCATTTTATTTTCTGCTGCAGGGTAGCAAGATACAAAAAGTTCAATCCTGAGAGGGCAAAAACTCAAGATGCTCAAAGCAAACGTTGAATTTCTTCATAGCCCAAGGTTCATTATCACTGCAGGAAGCTTCACAAAATCAGAAATTAATTGCTTAACAATGGCAATCACTGATAGAACAGATGTTAATGTCATTACCATATTAAGAAACTGGCTAGGTAGTTAAGCAACCCTGAAGCCATATGAACATTACTCCACAAAAGTAATTTTAATTCAGCTAAAATGTTCTTGAGCACTTGTGTAGTACCTTTGGATTGCTGACAGTTATGTCCAGCCTCCAGCCCATCTAATCAATACACACTTTCCTGCTGATCTACAGATAAGTTGGCTATTTATCCCAGGATTCCTTTGCAAATGGCAAAAGCAGGGTACTGTTGGAAGCATTTAACTTTGCAGGAATCTGAAGGACAAAGTGCTTTGTAAATTATTCAAGTTTCCAGAGCTACAGTAGATATGCAGGGCCTCAGTCCAGCTCACAGGGATTTCTGCAGTCTTGTGCTTTCCTTGGAGTAGTGCAGAAACACATTCTGACCCTTTGAGCATACCTAAAACCAGAAGTAAGAGGGTGTAAGGAATCGCCACCAATCAGCACATGGACTTTTCTGTAGTGCCTCCTGTGAACACATCTCCTAGTGCTCAGTAGGATGTAGAGAAACACCTCAAGAATCTTACAGGCAGTAAGAACTATCAGCTATTGTTAAGCATCTATTAAATTCTATAGTGTTTTCCTGTAAGGGATATACACTGTTTTGAGCTGAGTGGCTTGAATTGCATTTCATCAGTCAGCCTGAGGCCAGGGGAGTGCAGGAGTGATCTGTCCATTATGTGTCTTGAAGTCATTATAACAACCATTACCAATTTCGGAGGCAGTTTTATTTAATGGCATCCATCACAGCCCTGCACCCCTCCGTGGGCACTGCCTGAGCACAGCCCTCTCCCAGGCAGGATAACCCAGCCAGACTCCAAAGGGCAGTGCTAACACGTGCCCTGCAGCAGCGATTAGCACCAGAAAGGTCAAGGTTTAAAATTAGGTTTTGCTGTTTCACTTCATAGGAGCAATTTTGGACTAATAGCTGTCCCATCTCTTATTAGCTCTGAGTAGTAAGTCATACTACGAAAGCTCTGCAAGGCACTCCTGACAATGATTTCATTTTTTTACTACTAACACCTTCAGGCATTCTCCTTGAGCTGGCACAGGAATAATATTTACATTGTGGTTAGGAAGTAGACAGGCACTGCATTTTGATTTTCATGTACTGTATTTCTAGGATTCAGAATCTGCACTCAGCCAAGTGGCTGAATACCCCTGAGACTCATTACTAAATACAGAGTGATCTAGACAAATGTTACTGTTCTAATCATTTGTACTTCTCAAAGGCATCAGCCATGCAGCAGCAGATCAACAATTTCAAGGTAGATGTAAAAGATTCTTTTTATGCTTATCAATTTGCATATTGGAAACAGTAATACTCTTCCTTACAGTTAACAAATGAGCTGCTCAATTTACTGCTGATGTTTTTACAGCTTGGCATTTGCAATTCACTGCATTCAAATCAAAATGTAAAGGATGGCCTCATGACGTTCAGCAGAGGTTTCCAGCACTATATATATCAGCAGTAATATCCCACCCTAAATAACCACTGTCACTTGCAACACTAGGCTCGATTCTGACTTCATCCAGATGCGTGGGAGTTCATGCAGGAGCTCCTGATTATGCCTGGATTTTTCACTTCAAGCAGAGAATGTGTGCACCTCCATATCATCAGATAGTGGCAGTCCTTGTAATTATCTTGTCTCCTTCGATTTTTCTTAGGCTTCCCAAAGATTATTCTCCCTCTCAGAAATTATTACACCCAGGAAAATGACATTCATTAAATACAGTGAGGCAATGCTAATATCAAGGACAAGGAAGGAAAAGGGGTTGAACTTTTATCCTTTTCATTCAAGAAAACTGAATGAAATTCTTTTTATTGTAATCCTGGAATGGGAAGAGATCAGTCTCAAGCTTTAAATTTTATAAGTCTCCAAAGCACTATTTTTTCCACAGACTTTTCAAGTTTATCTTTAAGATTTTAAATTTCTTCACTGAATGAAAATTTATCTGTGTCTTCCAGAAAACACTATTCCTGGGCTAAACAAGTACCTATGTAATACCCACTCAATGCATTCAAATATCTAGCAAGATAATTCCTACTTCTCCCCTTTGCCATTTGCATTTAAATAGCCTGGCATTTCACTGGGGAGAAAATTTTGTTTAAAAGGGTATAACCTGTATTAGTTATACTTTTGTGAACAGAAAATTAGAATTACTAAAATAACGATACAAAAGCTCTTAAGAAGCCAAGAGACACCACCAACAAAAGCCAAAGCTGAGCTAACTCATAGTTCTTTGACTCCCTAAGATCTATTCAATATTATCTGCAACTTTGGAAGTGATGTTATTCCTCAGTAAGTCCAATAGCTGCATTAAACTGATAACACATGTCTATATATCTTAGGGAAAAGTAATAAACCCTGCTGTGAAACACTATTTCCGTAGTATCTTGGAGGAAAGATAACTTTTTACACAAACTCATTTTTCATTACCACAGCATTGTCTTCTCTCTCAGACAGGATATAAGATGATTCCACAGACAAACTCAAAAATGAGTGTTTATCCAAGCTCACCCTTTACACAAAAGCTGCCCATCTCAAGAAATTAATAAAAGCAGAAATGCATTATATTCTTCCAGAAAGTGAAAGACAACACTGAGATTAGCAGAGCTAAACTATTTCAAGTTCTTTTCAAGGTAGAGACATCACCTCCCATGAGTTACAAGGACAGCCTAGTTGAGAAACACCATTTTTACAATTAGTCACTTTTATTCCTTTATTGTAACAAAATAAGTAATTTGAAACATTAACTACCTCATAAGACCTTAGGAATAGTGATTTTCCAACTTTTCCTAAACCAGTTGTCTTTGCACTCTCATTCAGACACAACTTTCTTACTGTATTTTCTCCACCTTCTCTAGGCATTTAAAGAAAGCTTTGTATGTGGGTTGTCATGGTGTAAAGACAAAGGCAAAGCTTCCACACTGCAGGGAACTCCTCAGTGCAGACGAGACCCTCCAGCCCTCTTCATGCTGTGAGCATTGCTGAGGCCCACAAGGACAACTGCTTACTGTATTTCTACAATTTCCTTCTAATTTAATTTCCCACTGAAGATGTTTGTGAAATATTAACACTACTGTAATGAGATAATATGTTATTATAATCCTACTGAAACAGAACAAGTCAGTTTATTGCTGTCAGCAGTGTAATTGCAGAGGTATTGCCACTCTTTGACCGCTGGGATGGGAGGGAAACAGAAGTGCCCAGCTCCACAGCTTATCCACAGCTCTGCTCTAGCACAGGGAGGGACACACCAGACTTGGTTTGGGCTCCAACAGAAGCAACAAATAAGGTCTCCTCTCTAGCCCTGCAATAATCATCCTCTGCTCAGCACTTGTAGTCCCACCAAAAGCAGGGTCTGCAGCACAGCCTGCACACGGGGCATTGCTCCAGACCTTCCTGCAGCAGGGTGGGCTCCAGCACCACACACCTGGCTCTGAGCCAGACATTCCTTTCTCCAACATCAGCTGCTCCCTGTCCACCCTGAGCAGTGCTGATGTGACTCCAACACTGGTCAGCCAGCAGGTATTCTGCTGATCATAACTAACCACAACTTTAGGACTCCTTTTCAGCACAGTCATATAGACTCAGACCCTAATTTAGTAAAACAATTCTGAGTCGTAAAACAAACAGCTCCTGCCATGGGCTACTCACAGTCTGAGCTGTAAGAACAAGCTTAAGGGCAGCTCAACACACTGCTGAGTTTAAGTTACTCATTATCCAGTCACCCACTGGCACCATTGAGTATAAGTTCCTGGTCCCTGTTCTGCTTGGCAACCTCACCTCCCACTAACTTATGGCTGCTGACCTGGAATTTCAGACATGGAATTCTAACCATCTCTACAGACAGCTTTTAGAAAAAAAAAATATAGCTTTAGAACTAGACAAGACACAACATGCCCAGTAAAGATCAGAGTAATTGAGCCTGGCAGGCTCCTTCAGATGAACAACCCAAGGACTTAGGAAGGATGCACAGCTCACCTAGGACAGCTGATGGTGAGTAGGAATGCCCCAAGGCATTTTAGATTAACAAAATGAAACATCATACCTCTCAAACCTGTATTATCCATAAATACATACTTAAATTTAAATATTTTAAGGGGGTTTTTTGAGTGATTAGTAGATCTGTGGCGGGAAGTCTCACAAGAATATCCAAATACAGCATTAAAAACATAATTTTACCCTGCTATTTGCTGCTATTGCCAGCAAAATTTATCCAACTTCTATTGAAATACACCACTACTATTTTACTCTGTTCTTTACCTCTACTTGCAAAAAACTACTCAGAGGCAAATAGGGCAGTGGGAATGGTGCTACATGATAAAGGTCAAATGGTTATTTCTCTGTCCAAGCAGATTTCAAGCCAGATATCCATTCATCTCTCCACCACCAACCCCCAGAATCAGCCAACTCGAGTGAGTGAACTTTGGCTGCAATGGAGGTGCCCAAATCCCAAAGGTGCCAAGTGTGGCCCCAGTGCTACACAAGCCATGTGGAAGCAAAATGGCAACTGACCACATCCAAGTGGCTGCTATGGACCTGGACCAGGAAAAGGTGGGATTGGGAATGCAGTGCTGCTCTCCTCAGGGAGCAGAGCCCACTGCCATTAGGTGCTGGGTTTGATCCAGCATGGCAGGAAAAGAGAAGGTGCCCGAGCCTCTCACTTGGCAAAGGGGCCACTGCCACTGCTGGCACTTTGGGGACTGAGGAAGCTGGGGGAGGTCGTTCAGGCAGCCTATATATCCCTCAGAGTGGTTATCAGGGCATTCCCACACAGCAAGGAAAAGGGAAGAGAGAAGGGTTTAAAAGAAATTTCCGGAATGAAGATAGTGAGGTCCCAGGTTAACCACTGAAATCACCAAGTTCTAATGAAAGGAGACACCAGTGAACTGCATAAAGGCAGGACTTGGCTCAGACACTGCTTACACTCTGGAAACCCTTGTTTAAGTTTCTGCTGTGACTGATTCAAACCAGGGATTTGAATTTCAGCCTCTCTCAATCCCGTAAGCAACATAATCCAGTTATCACTGCCTGGCAGGGACAGGACTCCTTTGCAGCTGTGCTACTTTTATAAATAAATGTTTACTGCAGGCAAGATACAAAGATAAGTCATGACTTATAGCCAGAGTATGACAGGCTACAAGGTTCAGTGTCCTTCCCACAAAGTTTTAATTTACTTGCATGAAGAACAGCTCCAGCTGCAGAGGTTGAGACCAAAACCCCAGAGAGTCCTGGAGCACAGCTTGCCTTTCTTTTTGTCAAGTCTTAATCAAAAAGGTATCTGGAAAAAAAAATATCTGGAGGAAAAATCATTAGCGAGCTCACATCCTTCACAAAATGCAAAGAGATAGCTAGTTTGCAGAGGGGCAATATAAAGAAGAAGAGGCTTTTCCAAGATCTCCTCAGATTTTTAGGAAGCTGGATAGATTACATTGATATAATTCTGAAAATTACTCTTAATTTTTTTCTAAATCAGATACTGCTTTCTCTGAAGGTACTGCTGAAATAGTACTGCTGAAGTCCTGAGATTCATGAGATGACATACTATGAAAATATACACATCTGCAAGCTCCTCTATGCTCAAAACCTGAGTCAACCAAGTATAGAAGCAATATTCCTCCTGTACTATACGTGGAATAGTTTTCTTATTGTATTGAGGAGTTTTGCTTTATTTGTTCAACTTCCAAGGAGACAGGGGCCTGTCCTACAAATAACCTGAACAAGCACAGAAGGACCATCACAGAACAGCCCTGTTGGGACAAGAAGCACCACACAATTTAACAGAGATTAGGGTATAAAGTGGTCCTTGTTGTACGTGGGGAGCTTGAATCATTTTGTGCCTTAGAGGCAAAATCTCAACTCTCTTGACTTGGACAGTCTTCAGATATACTGTATACATTCATGCACATGCATTTCAGATAATTTACCTTTTTACAAAGCCTGATCCTGAGGACAGAAGTCTTCAAATATCAATTAGAATAGACAAAATAATACTTTGGAGAAATAGCATTAATGTATATGGAACAGTTTGTGACCAAACCCAGTAACATGAAGTGTGTGTGTGTGCTAGAAAGTGATTCTAGCAGTCTTCAGAGAGAAGGACACTGGGAATTTGTGTCACTCCCCTGTGTGTCTCTCACTTCTAATGGCTTCACTACCCCTGTGGTGAACAGATCTTTGCTCCTCTTCAACCAGCTCCTGACCAGAGCCTGCACTGTGGGCAGCACTGTGCCACTAACAAGACATCAGCTTTCCTGCTGCCTACCTGAATCCTCACGTTTACTTTTTCCAAGCAAAAAGGATATGCAGAAAAGGTTACATCCATCTCTGTTTTAATACAGTCTCAGTTGATAGATGAGTTCCAAACTTCAGTTTGTGCCAAGACCTTTCTTGCAGTCCAGCAAGTGAAAGCAGTAGAGCCCCAAGACAGGAAATAATGTGTGTAAACATGCCCTGCTGCAGGTCAGTAGCCAGGCAGTTCAGACCAATTAATTTCTACCTCTCACTGTATTCAAGTACTAAGCCACCCTTAAAATTACTTGTTTTCATATTAGCAGCACTGGCACCTCACTGTTTCAAATGACAGCTTATCAGAGATGCATTTTCACCCTCTAGGTTCATTTTGCTTATGAACAGATTAAAAAAAAAACCTCTTGTATGAAGATAAAGCATCTGCCTAAGGATCACAGAATGGTTTTGATTAGAAGGGACCTGGTCCTACCCTCTGCAATCAGCAGGGACATCTTCAACTAGATCAGGTTGCTCAGAGACCCATCCAAGCTGATCTTAAATATTTCCAGGAATGGGGCATCTGCAACCTCCATAGGCAACTTCTAGCAGTATTTCACTACCCTAATTGCAAAAAATTCCTTCTTTATATCCAGTCTAAATCTAAATTCTTTTAGTATAAAAGAACTACCCCTTGTCCTATCACTACAAGCCTCACCTTTCTTATAAGTACTGAAAGGCTGCTCTAAGGTCTCCCCTGAGCCTTCTCTTCTCCAGACTCAGCAGCCCCAACCATCTCAGCCTGTCTTCATAGGAGAGATGTTTCATCCTCTGACCATTTCTGTGGCCTTCCTCTGGACCCACTCCAACAAAGTAACATGATCTATTCCATTTTAAAGCATACCTTCCTCTCCACCAACCATAAAACAAAATTTAAAATAAATTTATGCTGTGAAATGAAAAAGCATAGCACCCTATCATGAAAAAAAGAATGTGACATGATAAAAGAGAAATATGCATAAATGCCAGCCAAGAGGCCATGCTAACCAACAGCTTTGAGACAAGTTTGAAGTAGTCATTAAAAAAGGATGAGGCAGGACACAGGTGGTTCCATGGACTTGCATGCAAAGCCATCTGTGTAAAGCTCTGGCAGCCCCTCTCTTCCCCAGAAACAAAAGGATGCACACAAAGCCTGCACATATATGACAGTAGTTCACCAAGACTCCTGCAAGAGAGACTAGCACTGAGGCAGTTTGCTCTGAGAAATCATCTGTAAAATGCTGCTGTACCTGCATGACAAACCCTAATATTGCTGCCTTCCAGAGGGCTGAGAAAAACAACCCAATAAACACCCCCTGAAGCAGTGGTGCACCCAAGGCAGGAACTTTTTGTGAAGGGTGAGGAAAAGAGAAAGTGTAATTTAGCAAATCTATCAAAGCCAACCATGACCAGACTGGTTGAATACGTCAAATGGGTAAAATATATCCCACTACAGAACAGTGGTGTGTGGGGATGATAAAACTCTCCAACAGGTTTACAGGTAAAATATCCCACTGAAAAACCTGGTTACCAACTCACCAGCCTCTGCTGGAAACATGTGATGGCCATAACACTTAGAATGGACAGAATCACACTGAAAAGGACTTTAAAAAAGCCCATGGCTATTTCAAGGCTGCTTGAAAAACACACAACACAAGCTCCAGCTGTTTAAATTCAGCACCACATCCCTTGTGCTGCCTGATGCAATACCTTACGTAAAGACAGTATGGCAATAAAATGAACAGCCCCCCAGGCAGGGCAGGCAGAAGGGGTAAAATGCTGCAAACAGCACATGTCCCTCATTCAGGCTGCTGGGACTGCAAAGGAGAATAGCCTATGACAGCACCCTCAGTGCCTGCAACACACCAGAGAGGCAGGATTGTTTGAACAAGCACCTTTTCCTCTCAGACAAAATACCACTCAACAAGCTTTTGGGGGTGGGAGAGATTGAAGAGAAAAAGAGCAAATCCCTGGGGAAAGCTGAGCTAGACCTTGCTGCTCATTCCCCTTCTCAAAAAAAAAAAAAAAAAGCCACACCCCTACTCTTTTTGTTTGGAAAAGCTGTGTGTTTTGTGGTAACAAGGACAGCTTGTCTCTGTTACAGGAGGTCAGACCTGTGTGGTCCATCACACGTGACCTTATTGGCTTTGTGAGTTTTTGGTGTCCAGGTGCACTGAGACTGGCAGAGGAAGTTACAGAGAGAGCCCAGGTAACCCCAAGGCAGCTGGTGTCCAGGAGAAACTCCTGCCAATGCTTGTGGAAAAGCCAAAACCAGGAGACAGCCCCATCCAGACAGCTGCCACTCCTTCCCATCCAAGGTGCACTGACAAAGAGCAAAGAGGGTGTGATGAAATTGTTCAGGTCAGGGCTGGGAACCCAGCTGGAAGAGAAGCCTGTTGTGAGGGAGCAGTTTAGGATCATTAGCAGCACAGACCCCCAACAGCCAACAAGCTCCCACTTTGAAATCTGTTGGCCCAGTACACATAGCACCGAGAAGGAACACGGGATGCCCAGCTTTCCAAAGCAGACAAGGCTTCAGACTTTCAGAGTTACACTTGAAATGACAACATGAGAGCAGCCAAATGGGGGCAGATCAAATATTCCACCTTTCTATGTCCTAACACTGGCCACAAGCAGAGGTCACAGGGAAGTTAGAACAGGCTAAAATTGTATAATGCCTCCTCCAGTTCTCCCTCAACCTTTCAGAACCTTGACCCAAGCATTTAGTAATACTCATTGTTTTTTCTGTCTTCACCAGGAGACATGACTGACTGGTCCATAAGAGCTTGGTCATACCTAATGGGTACCACCAACAAGTGCTTCAGGTACTCTTATCCAAGAGCAGATCTCTTCAGAAACAGAGGAGTCTCAGAGTTGAAAAACCTCACTGTGCCTTGCCATGGACAGCCAGAAGTAAAAGACTCTTCCCCTCTGTTTTATGTGCTCAGATGTAGAATTGCCTGTGAGGAGCTACAGGGCATCTCTTCCCAGGTCACCCAGCTCTTCTACACAGCCCAAATCAGTCCTGTGAAATCAAGAAGGGGCAGGGAGAGCAAACACCATCTACAGAGCTCTGCAAGCAGCCACCAGTGGTGCCAGGCTGTGTCCCTGCACCGGGATGCAGCTCTGCTCTCACAGCCAGGCTCTGAGCAGGGCACACCCGGTGATTCAAGGCTGTGTTGCTGACTGTCAAAGTTAGAACTGCTGTACCAAGAATAGACCTCACTGAACGCTCACTCCTTATTTCTGTCGAATCTTTTCCGCAGTTTACAAGGTACAATCCAGGG